CAGAGCAGGGAGCAGAGCAGGCAGATCAACGAAGCACACTGCTGAGGGGAGCAGCGGGTGGGTCAGGAGAGGTCTACCATGCCATGTGGTTACCTCCAGGGCAGGAGGGAATCGAACTCATGTGGAAGCTTCTCAGCGCTGTGCTTTAACCTGCTGTACCACCAGGGAGGGCCTCTTTACTTATTTTTAATCGAGGCAAAATCTGGATACCTTCTTACATTCTTAGGAACATATATGAGTCTGCACAAAATGACCACCACACATTTTGATCATCCTGATGGCAACAGATAGCTGCTTCAGGAATTTTTCAGATTTGTGGAAGAACTACTATTAACAAAAAAGCATATGGAAACACATTGAGAAATTACCAGCAACTGATATAAATTTTCACCTATAAAACAGAATAGACACATGGGGAGGGGGTAGGGAGGAGCCAGGCACGTTTTGAGCCACCTTCCTTGGTCTACTTTTCTTTACCAGAGCACAGAGCCTACCCCAACTAGAAAACTAGGCAATTATTCCCCACTGGAAGGACCTGCTTCCTGAGGCAGTAGGATCTTTGGAAAGGGGGCTCATCTGTACTACTGTGTGTTTAGGTCTTCTTGAGACTGTATATGATAAAGCAACAATGAAGGAAAGGAAGTGGGCAGAAATGCACCCTGGATGTCATCAGGATGGCAGGCATGAAGAGAACCTCAGGTGACACTGGTCATGCATAGATCCTTGTTGACTGGAACACCCAGAAATAAATGTGCCTCCTGACAGCCATGAGATCAAGATATGGGGCCAAAAGATAGCTTTGAGGTCCCAGTATTTTTTTTAATCAAATTAGTACTTATCACATTATTTATTTTACCATAATATTTTGAAAAATTCAACTAAAAAAATTAAACATTTGTTTTAAAGTGATATGGCTCAGCCTCTCATCTGGCAGATGCATTAAGAAATGGAATCCAGGTGGACAGCACATGGAGCATAAGGAATCCTGTCTGGTGAGTAAAATGCTAGAGAGGTCTTCTCATTTGTGGATATCTAAATGAAAATCAAGCCCCCCCCCAAAAAAAAATCACAAAATTTATAAAAAGATTCTCTAACTTAGGAAGAGAATACTTTTTAAAAGATGCAGATAAAGGTATTTATAACAAGAACAGAAGAAATCTTTTAGAAAGATTTACTATGTTTTCCCAATAAAGTACAAGAAAATATAGACTAAAAAAAAAGGAAGATGAGGTTTAGGAGGTTACTTAGATGCTTTCTAAGATGTAAACCAAAGTGATAAGGTGGAGGCTGAAAGAAGAATAAGATTATAAAGAATAAAATACAATTTACTGTTTTAGAAAGGGCAATAACAGAGGATTGAGACTACATGAAGTAATTCAGTAATGTAAAGGACAAGTATGAGAAGTGATCCCAGAGGAGGGAGAAAAAGGGCAAAGAGAGAACTAAAAGCAGAAAGAGCAATAAAGTTGTTTACATGGGAAGAGGATGTAGGGAACATAAACAGCTATGGAAGAGAGAAATGAATTTATAGAAGACAGAAAATGAAGACTCACTTCAAAATTGCAGCAACAATCTGTGGAACACATCACATAATCAAAAATATAATACAATTTTTTTAATTTAGTTGTAACCAGGCCAGAGGATTAAAAAGGCTTACCGACAAAATTAATCAAAAGAGGTCATTGCATAAACATATCACTGTGAATTTTAAGAATGCTAAGTATAAAAAATTCTGTCAGGATTCAGTAAGACAAATAATCCAACAGGCTACTTTTGAAGAAATAAATGTAAAAGTGTCCTTATTCATCTTTCAAAGCCCTTACTGTTAGAAAAATGAGGAATAACATCATACAAAAATTTAAGGTTAAAAAAAGGTAAATTGTGATACAATAATTCAGTACTCATAGGAAAAATAAAATTTGTATCCCGAATATCTGAAGTTTCAGAAATACTATCATCTACATTCCAAGGATAAAAATATTAGAAGACATATGCCAACAGGTCAAGAAAGCAATGGGAACAAAAAGATTAGGGTAAGGTTAAGGCTAGAGGGGCTTTGTTTCCTCTTCCAATTAGGACTCTGAAAATAGATCATCTCTTGGGCAATTTCCATCCTGATATTAACTTAGTTTCCTGAACCATCTTTAATCTTTGGGTGTTTATTTATTTTAAAAATATATTTATTTTTATTTATTTATGCATATAAGAACTGGGATGTAGGCCAGAAGTGCTGCATTGGGAAGGGCAGTGTGAATATATTCACCAGAGAAAGAGTGGGGAGAAAAACAGATGGATCTACTGAAATACAGTGCTGTGGGGAGCAACAGGCAAGACAGGAGGGGTCAGCTCCCTGGCCAGGTATCAAACTGATGCCACAATGGCTGATAATAGCTTGATAGTCCTGAGATTTTAACCCCTGAACCTCCAGGGAGGACCCAAGTCCATCTATGTTTAGATGGGGTCCAGAAATAGCTGGGAGACTGTTGTCTAGCCAGAGCTAAAGGAGAGAGCATCACAGGTTGCAGAATGTTGCAGGGTGACAATCCAGAAAAGAATCTCTACAGAGCCCTAAAAGGTAGCATCAATGGGAGCTCAGCTGAGGTCAAGACCATGGGAGGGGATTACCAGGAGGTAGAATGTTTGAGAATAAAAAATAAGCCACAAGCTGCAGCTTTCAAAATTGCTGTCAACAGGGCAAACAGTCATCAGCTGGGAAATGAACATCAACATTAAAGTTAAAGGAGCCAAACGCAAGATGAACATAAAGCCCAACTCTTACCTCTACAACCACAGCTAAGTTTCTGTCCCTCCTTCGTTCTGGCTATCATCTCAAAGTAAGAAGAATCGTGGGAGTGATCTGAAAGATGCTTGTTTCCTAAAATTTGACATACTACCAAAAACTGTGCCTTATATTGTCACATCTGACTAAGTTTTAACCTGATTGTGCATGTGCACGCATGCACGCACCATCTTGCCCAGCACTGATAAGGCCACACAGAAGGAGGATACATACTTTGGGATTCTAGATACATACAGCCTGGGTCTGAATCCTGGCTTCATGATTTGTCAACTGTGGATCTTTGGGCAATTAAGTTAATCTCTCTGTGTCTCAGTTTCCTCACTGATAAAATGAGGAAAATATTTTTTTCTGATTAGGTAAGTTTAGCCCATAAAAAGGATTCAATAAGTACTCACTATTCTCATTAATTACATTTATTATTATATTATGTTATATTAACTATATTATATTTATTATTACATTATATTTTTATATTATCACTTGTATCTATTACCTGGAGTACGAAGCTCATGAAGGACAATCAACCCAACTACAGAAAAGTTAATAGATTACTATTTTTTACACAAATAGTATGGATTAAAATGTGCATCCTGTTTAAAAAAAATCACAAGTGATAAAAGAATATATAAAACAGAAAGAAAAGTTTTTAAAAGAAATATTTTTAAAACATTTAAGATGTGTTTTTAAAAACACAAAGGAATGCAATAAATTTAAAAATTGTAGTAAAATGGGCCACATGCAGAAAATATATGAGCTGCTTATATTAGCTCAAGAAGTAGGCCCAGTTGCAAATAATATGCCAAAAGAAACTGGAAAATTCATCCAAGATTTACCTCATAAAAGGCCTAGGATCAGATCATTTAATTAGCATATTCTTTCAAGCTTTCCCTCAAGGAATAACCCTAGAATGTACAGTGGTCAAAGGGCTTAGAAAAGGATGGAAAGTTCTCTACTCACTGGAAAGTTAGGTTAATAAACATAGAACTCTCTATAACATAAAACATTAAAACAAACACACAGGGATTTGTTCCTCCAGGATTTCTCTGGGATAGAGGAAAAGAGACCACTTACAAAAATTGTAATAGATTGCTGAGTGTTGAAGCAGTACATTCTGCTGGAGGACTTTTAAATTGACTCAACTTTTCTAGGAAGCAATCAGCCATATGTAAGTAGAACCTAAAAAGTACTCTTTAACCTAACAATCCAACTTTCATCGGTCCATTCTGGAGAATTAATTTAGAATAAAAATAAATGTTTATTACAAGGCTGCACCTAGTAGACTTATTAGTAGCAAACAAAATAAAACCAAACTGGAAACTATCAAGGTGGAATGTGAAACCAAATCAAATGAAAATGGAATGGTACATTCATTTGATGAATTATGCAACAATCAAAAGCAATGTTTTGGAGGAAAATAGCCACATGTGTAAGTACATGAATTGGGAGGGGACAGGATACAAATTACCAAGGATCGCTTTAAGTATATTTTAGAACATATGTCTGTAGGAAGACTATAGTCGACAACTTAATAGAATTGCTAGGAATTAAGTCTCTATGGGAGTTTTGGGGTTTTTTTCCTAATACATTTATCATGTTATATGACTTTCTGCACTAAGCATCTTATTTTTATAGTAAGAAAAAAGATCAAAACCAAATAATTATTTTACCTGAATAGTTTTACGAGTTCAAGAGAAAAAAAAAAAACATTCTCAACATTGTGCACAGAATTGCATTCTCCCAAACGTGCACTGATGCACCTGAAAGCCCAGAAAACAAAAGGCAAGCCAACTAAATCCCTGAATAAAGACAGACTGAGCTGCTTCTCCCCCGGGTTTTCAATAGCGCATTTTCAAGAGGGGAACCCTGCACCCATTTTTTAAAGTGCAACTGCTTTGGTATCTTCCTTGCTTGGAATTGCTTCCAATGGAGGAACAGAATTTAACGGTACGGCTAAGGGAGAGTGAAGCGTTTACGTGAGCGCACGTGCACACCTTCCCTCTTATACACACACACACACACGCCCACACACATGCGCGCAGACACACACTCACACTCTCACACTCACACTCACACAGACTCTTCCTCAAATCCACTCAGTCGTGGGGTCCCAGACTGAAGCGAGCCCCGCGGGTACAGCCTCGGCGCTTCTCTGGTCCGAAGCCAGAATCCCTAGTCGCCCGCCGCCCGGGGCCGCCGGTACCTGCTCCAGGTGCGCGGTGCCGGGGTCCCCGGACTCCGGAGCGTCCTCAGCGCTGCAGGGGTGTTGTGAGTGGCCTCTTTGCCTTCTTCCACCGAGAGCCTGCACAGCCAAGAGGAAAACTAAGTTGTTCCACCTCGCGGGGAGCAGTTGTCTGGCAGGCTCGCCTTCGCGCTCTCAGCCGGCCGGGACATCTTCGCGCGCCCTGGCTGCTCCGCAACATCCCCGTAGTTTGAAGAGGCTCAAGGCGGGAAGGAAGAGGGAGGAAAGGCGCCGACCATGATGGGGAGAACCCCGGCCACTTCCCCCGAGCCCGACGCCAAGTCCCGTTCCGCAGCTCCTTCGCCAGAGTGACGCCCGCGAGAGCCCCAGCAAGCCTGGCCAGACCCTCTCCGCCCAAGCCGGGGGACATACCCCTCTACCCCCCGCCCCAAGTGTCGCCTCCCCGACATCCTCAACCAGCCCTCCTAGTCTCCAGGACGCCGGATCCCACCCCACCCTCAGGCCGCCGCCGCCCGTCGGCTGGTCTCGCCGCTGCCACAAGTCTACGCGCCGGAGTCGAGCCGCGCAGCGGCCGGCCCCACGCCCGGGACGCACAGCGGGGAGCCCGCGCGGACACCCCGAGCCGGCCGGGGGTGTCCGTAACCCGCGGCTCGGCGGGAGTCCGGCCAGAGGGTTACCTGAAGCGGGCGGGCGCGTCGGCCGAGCCCCAGAGCAGACGCAGCAGCAGCAGCAGCAGCAGGCTGGCGAGCAGGAAGAGCAGCGCGCCCCCCGGCCGCATCCTGAGCCACAGGCGCGGGCGCAGTCGCCGCTGCCCCAGCGAGGCGCGGCGCGAGCGG